TGGTGCGTTTCGTCCACAATCGATTATTTTCAGACTGCCATCATATTGCTGGAGGGGGCACGGGTGGCCCAGTCGTTTAAGGCGCCGCGTTTCGCTGTGCAGAGTTGCGTCCCTTGGGCACGCCAGAAACCTATGATTGTGGGTTCGAATACCGGTTCGCCCCGATTATGTTTCTAGGTTTGTCAGCACCATACCCGTGCTCGTGGGTTTCACTTCGGGATTTCCTCCCACATTAAGCTGACATATAACTCGAATACTGTTAAAAGCGGCGTTAAACCCAACTCACTCACTCACTCATATTGCTGGGGTATTGCGGTGGGGTAGCCTAATCGTTCAGCGTTCGCCCGGCACGCCGCAAACCCCACATCAGTACAATGTATGAAGCCCATTGATGGTGTCCCCTGCCATGATATTAATCATATTATTGGATTATTGCTAAAAGCGACGAAAAACTCACACGTACTCACTCAGTAACTAACGGGACCTTACATTTATTATTATTATGCTTATTATTATTTGTAATGCTGTGATATCACTAGGGTCCAATTTCCGCCGATATGTATTGCGTTATTGTAATTATTGAAACACACGCATCTCCTGGTACATTGTGTAACAAAGTTGACATCCGTCCCTCGGACCTTCTGTCCCCTGTGATGTCACACTGAGTCACACACGTGACTGCAAGTTCTGTACGCCCCACCCGACTTGGGACCGCAATCTACGCCGTTGTTTTATGTCTAAGCTGCCCTGGCGTGTGACACAAATTCTGTTTGATTGACGTTCATTCCATGACGTCATAATGACTCGCAGTAACAACGAATATAAACAAATATTCAACATTTTTTTACCAATTGAATGACTGAATATAAATGAATTTGAAAAGAAAGGGAAAAAATAACACAAAAGAAATAGGATATGAAAAGTATACAAGATACGATTAAAAACAAATTATGAATTTTAAAAGTCAGACACCGTTGTGTCGAACTTTGATGTGTCGAGCTTACGGCTGTCTCGAGTAATAGTATTGTCCCTGTGAATTCCTTTTTTATTCATAATTTTCGGTTGTGCCGAACCTTGTATAACTAGAAGTATTTATGGAAGTCCCTTCAACGGTGTTTGACTGTATATCAAGCATTCATTAGTTTAAGATATTTCCTGATAAAATCTCACACTATGTTTGTTTTTACAATGCGTTTGATGTGACTAATGTGGGACGACATGAGAGTCTGAGACGTCGACCACGTGACATGTTGGGTCCTCTGACGCACACATCAAACAGAGAGGAAATAACACGTCTACAGTCATCCCCCCACCACCTAACCCCCACCCTCAGTGTCGAGTGTCGTAGGAGAAGGTTAGCGTCACAAGTGTTAAATGCAACGATGTTTCCAGAAACAGTAATCGGTTTTACAAGATTAAGTTTTAAACAAAACTATTTTCTCTCACACAACTTATTACATCATATTTCACGGTTTGTAAACCTCGGTCTCAACAATCGTACGTGCTGGAGGTACATGGGCGGTTATTCACTATTCCAGCTATTTGACGGTGGTCTGTAAATATTCGAGTCTGGCCCACTCAATCCGGTGATTGATATCATGAGCATCGATTCACGCAATTGGGATACGATGACATGCATCAACCAAGTCGGCGAACCTGACCACCCGATCCCTTTAGTCTACCCTCACTTGTCTCCCATAATCGCCTCTTACAACGAGCATGGGTTGATGAAGACCTATTCTAACCCGGATCTTCAAAGGACTTATAAGTCAGTACTAATTCCTACAAAACGTCCCAGAAGATAAAGATGTTTCAGTCATGATCTATTTTTGTTACTAATATTTTGTCGACGAATGCGTCATGATGACTCCACGTTTCCGTCGTCTAGGTTAAACCCCAGGTCCCGTTTCACGAAGCGATCACAGCGCTACGACTGTCGTAAGTCCTGTACACCAACGTCAACTTACCACAGTCGTATAGTTAGTTATCATGCTTGAGGAAATGAGACCAGGACGGATGTGTAGTCGGCCTCCGTGGTGTAGTGGTAGAGCGCCCGCCCGGAGAGCGGAAGTTTGGGGAGTTCGATCCCCTGCCGCGTCATACCAAAAGACGCTAAAATATGGTACGTGTTGTTAACTTGCCTGCGCTCGTCAATAAGGGGTTGAAACAACGACTGGTCGGGTCTGCGTCAATATACTCTGTCTTAGGGGGGTATTCATGTCAAACTGAGGCATGGGACCACCTCCGTGGTCTTGTGGTAGAACGTCCGCCCGGAGAGCGGAAGGTCTGGGGTTCGATCCCCGGCCGCGTCATACCAGGGGACGGAAAAAGATGGTACATGTTGTTACCCTGTCTTGCGCTTGGCATAAAGGGGATAAAACAAGGACTGGTCGGCTCGGAGTCAGTATACTGTGTCTGAGTGGGGTATTCATGTTAAACTGCGGCATGGCGACTCAGTGAGCTAGCACTATAAATCGGCATTAGTGCGGACTAGAACAAGCAACCACTCAAACACACACAGACACACACGCACGCACGCACGCACACACACGCACACACACACACACACACACACACACACACACACACACACACACACACACACGTGCATGCACTTATATGCACGTCGCTACATAAGTGCAATAATCTTGGACGCGACGTTAAACCCAATTTCACCTCACCCCACCAAAACTGAGGCATGGTATCTCACACACACACATCTTCAAGAAGACACACACAGTACCCCACTCAAGTGCTTGAGGCTATACTAAACAAAACAAGTTAGGGATCATCAGATATTTGTATGAAATTATATGCTCAGTCTTTATTACAAAAAACATATGTTCTAAAATATAAATGACGCTTAACATTGTTTGTTCAGTATATATACCATACCATATACATTATTATAATATTATCCAAGTTTTCGAAACAAGCAGTGTGCCGATATTAAATGCAATTAACATGAAACAGAAGCAGGACCGCCATCGTGTAGCTGGAATATTGTTAACTGCGGCGTAAAATAACATACCAACAGTGTGTGCCAGCATATTATAGAACATGAGTTATATTAGCAATATAAAGTAATGCCATGTAATTTTATGATATACAATAAACTAGGATTAAAAGGAACTCAAAGGGACCACACAATTTAGTTCGTTATAACCGTAGTTCGTTATAAGCACATATACAATATATATACAGAAAAAGGACGGGACCAAAAATAGTTTGTATATCTGTCAGTTCGTTATAGGCGTGTTCGTTATAAACGTAGTTTACTGTATATGATACGATGACTACGAACAAAGTGATATGCATTAAAAAAGTAAGAAGCCCACGAGATATATGTTTTGTTTGTTTGTTCGAGTCTCGGAGAGCCAATCAAGTGAATGACATCTGGAGCATCCATCCAATCAATTGGGACACGATGAAATGCATCAACCAAGTCAACGAGCCTGACCACCCGATCCCGTTAGTCGCCTTTTACGCTAAGCATGGGTTGCTGAAGACCTATTCTAACCCGGATCTTCACGGGTGGCAGAATATGTGATGATACAAACAACCACATGAATGAGTGAGTGAGTGAGTTTGGTTTAACGCCGCTTTTAACAGTATTCCCGTTATACCACGGCGTGTAAGCTTAATGTGGGAGGAAAGCCCAAAGTAATGCAGGTCTTAGACGTTTACCACTCCGGTGAAACCCACGAGCACGGGTATGGTGCTAACAAACCTAGAAACATAATCGGGGCGAACCGGGATTCGAACTCACAATCATAGGTTTCTGGCGTGCCCAAGGGACGCAACTCTGCACAGCGAATCGCGGCGCCTTAGACGACTGGGCCACCCGTGCCCCCACCACATGTTCGTTTATATCAGCCAGTTAAAAATGTCCAGTTTCAATCATAAATATCGATTCAATTTCTGTTAATTTAATTTTGGTGAAATGGGATTTAACGTAGCGTTCAGGATTATTGCACTTATATAGCGACGTGCATGCATGTGTGTTTGTGTGGCTGCTTGTACTAGTCCGATTTATAGTGCTAAGATGGCGGTCCCACTGAAATACCATGCCACAGTACATGAATATCTCACTCAGACACAATATACTGACTCCGAGCCGACCAGTTCTTGATTTATCCCCTTAATGCCGAGGGTAAGGATGGTAACAACAAGTAACGTCTTTTGGTATGACACGGACGGGAATCGAACCCCGGACCTTGCGCTCTATGGGCGGAGGCTCTACCACTAGACCAAGGCGGCGGTGTAATTAAATTTAGGATAAAATAGTGAGTTCATTGCACCGATTGTCTTATGTTCTGTCCGTGGAGCGGTCCATCTTTATAATGTACATACCTATATTTATAGCGTTCGCTCGTCACGCCGAAGACCCAGGTTCGATTCCCGGCATGGGTACAATGTGTGAAGCCCATTACTGGTGTCCCCCGCCGTGATATTGCTGGAATATTGCTAAAAGCGGCGTAAAACCTCACTCACTCACTCACTATATTTATATTGTTTTAGTGCCTTCCATAAATCGCAAAGCGATTGATTGTAATCTTTGTTACAAGTGCAGCGTTAATAAATAGATGTCTGTCTGGCTGTCTATCTGTCTGTCTGAGGTAAGGAAACACCGTATTTGTAAACAAAGGATAATGATTATCCGAAATTATGTGATGTAATTATGGTAATGCGCAGTGTTAAAACCAGGCAGAATGTTATATGTAAGCAGTAATATGGCAACCACTAGACTATATACACGAGCTTCACACACCACAAGTCGCTTTCCGCGAGGTCACTCCGTGCAGTAAAGTTGATTAAATGTAGGTAAATGAATCATGCTTAATAAGGCGCCAAAAATTGTCGGTTCAGCTTACAACAATGCAAATGACATGACGTCACAACATGCTTTGACCTACTTAAAGGGGGCTTTCCCGCGACCACTAAAAATAGCACTACCATAAAAGGCACATGTCAATCGTTGCTCGTGGTGACTTATTTATTATATAGTTTTCAGCTCGGGTGATGTCTTTGAGCAGTATGGCAGTGTACAGCAGACTGAGCGTGGCGAAGGACGTAAGTTTGGAGTGAGAGACACAGCTTCAGAGAGTCCCTACAACGAGGAAGAGGAAGGCTGAACTACCACGGGAGCAGACGACAGAGCAGCGGTGGGTTCTTCCCTCTTCGCGCGGCGAGCACTGGGCAGTTAGAGCGCTACACAGCTCGTCTCGCGGAAAACAGTCGCTCCATCTATCCCTATACAGCAATTACTTATTTCTTGTGTGCTGGGCCACACAGAAATTACATTCCCCGTATATGAATTATTTAGCAAGCGCAAGCAGGTCTCGCTTTTAACAGTGGCTGGCGGTCGAGAGGCGAAGTTGGTTTCAAGACGGTAGATGAGAGAGTGTTGATTCTGAATTCGGGCTCTCGTACACCGCCGCTCTCTCCCCACAGCAACAACGGTGCCAGCTGACTACGACGTGAAGCTCCCGTGTGTGCTATACGTGTCTGTTTTCCCTCACAGGACGGATAACGGCTCGAGGAAGGGTGTTGTAAGTTCTCGCTAACCTTGGATCGAAGTGCAGGGTGCTATACTCGAGAGAGGCCGGTGAGAGAGGGGTGTTTTCCTACCTACCCTTACTGCCGGCGACATCAGGGTGCGTGTGTGTGCTGGCTGCCGGGTGTGGAGGTAGAGGCAGCTGGTGACGACGTCCACATCGGGTGGTGTAGTCGCTCGTCATGAACGCCGAGGGGACGGCGTGGACACTGACGGTGTTGGTGATGTGTCTTGGTGGTTTGGATACAGCACAAGACAACGTAGCTTCGAGCTCGGATGGAATGGTAAGGAATATCTTATACATTGTAACCAAATCCTCAGAGCTCATTATTGATTAGCAGTGTTGAACCACAACCCGCGATCCATTTAAACCTCCGGGAAGCTAAGACACGATATTGCCTAGTTTCCGAGATATTGAATGACGGGAGAATGACTGTGTTTCTTGTATTGAATATGCTGCAGATTGGCCGATGTATTGTTGAGTGCCAACTTCTTGATTATATACAACAACGAGGGGTTAAGTAGGGAACGGGATCGTTCTGGTCTGGTTCTACGTATACACAGTCGGGACGTAGAGAGGCGTTGATACTGCACACAGCATCTGATAGCACCGTGTCGATCTCATCATGAAAGCTAAGCTCCAACCTGCATCACAGAAACTTGATTTCACAACATTGACGAGGTACAGAAATAGATTTCAATCAATGCTATTACACCAATTCACTAATCACCACCAATTCAAATACTCTCATCTACACCAGTCCAATGTATTCACGTGTGTATTTGTGCTAAGTGTATATTTTTTATATGTGTGTATGTGCATGTGTGTATCTTTCTGAGTCGTGCGTATGTGTGTGTCTATTTTGTGTTTAAATGTGTGTATTCCTGTATCGTACGTATGCCTGTGTGTTCACGTGTAGTATGGGCGTGTGTATTCCTGGTGTATGGTGACGTACACAAGCTTTCTCAAGTGGGTATTCCACGTTTTAGTTTAATGCAGACTTACACATTTGTATGCATTTGTGTACCCATAAGGTATCGTGCCCATAATAGATTGTAGTTTTATTGCACCTATAACAGCGTATTTCTCTTTCAGTATCGTTGTACGTATTGCCGTGTGTGCCAGTATCACAGCGTATCAAACCATGACGTATTATTGAAGTATATAATATATTGGTATGACGATTAGCATCATACTGTATAGTCACTGTCGATCGATGGCATCCTATAGGCACTGAGGGTAGTATTTATATGTATAGCCAATGCTTGTAGAATTCAAACGTAATATCATTGCGTGTAGTGTTAACGCGTAAAGCCATTTCGTGTCGTATTAAGGCATATTGATTGCTACTGTGTGTACTAGTAGAGTGTATTGTCCTTGCATATGGTATTGCCGTGTATTGCGATTGCTTGAAGCGCCATTTAGAGAACTGTCATTGCCTGTAGAATTAAAGAGTATTAATTATCACTCCGCGTATAGACTATAGTACTGAAGCGTATTGCCCTTCCTATGGTGTCATTATGAGTATTGTCATTGCGTGTACTATTGTATTGTCAATTCGCGTAGAATTAAAGTGTTTCCTTTGCATATAGTATTAAAGTGTATTTTCATTGCATGTAGCGCCATTTAGAGAATTGTCATTGCATGTACTATTAAGCGTATTGTCATTTCGCGTAGAATTTAAGAGTATTTCATATGCATATAGTATTAATGGGTATTGTCATGCATATATCATTAAAATGTATTGTCATGCATGTAGTATTAAAGTGTATTCTCATTGCCTGTAGCGGTACTTAGAGTAGTGTCACAGCGCGTACTATAACATCGCATTGTATTCCCATTGCGTGTATTTTAACGTGTTGTGCCATTGCATGTAGGACTTAATATAAGCAGATGCTATTTCATGTAGTGTCACGGAGAAGTATTGACATTGCGCGTTGTATATAAAAGAGTATTGTCATTGCGTTAGTATTAACGCACAGTGTCATTGCCTGTAGTGCTATAGTGTGTGGCTATTGTGTGTAGCATTAATGTGTATTGTCGCTGCAAGTGGAATTAAATCGTAGTATCTTTAAGAGTATTGCCATTGCGTGTACAACCATTTGAAGTACTGGGATTGCGTGTAGTACCATTTAAAGTACTAGGATTGCGTGTAGTGGTTTTTTAGAGTATTGGGATTGCGTGTAGTGTCTTTTAGAGTATTTGGATTGCGTGAAGTGGCTTTTAGAGTATTGGGAGTGCGTGTAGTGTCTTTTAGAGTATTTGGATTGCGTGTAGTGGCTTTTAGAGTATTGGGATTGCGTGTAGTGTCGTTAAGAGTATTGGGATTGCGTGTGGTGTCATTTAGAGTATTGGGATTGCGTGAAGTGGCTTTTAGAGTATTGGGATTGCCTGTAGTATTATAAGAGTATTGGGATTGCGTGTGGTGTCATTTAGAGTATTAGGATTGCGTGAAGTGGCTTTTAGAGTATTGGGATTGTCTGTAGTGTTTTTTAGTGTATTGGGATTGTGTGTAGTGTCATTTAGAGTATTGGGATTGCGTGAAGTGGCTTTTAGAGTATTGGGATTGCGTGTGGTGTCATTTAGAGTATTTGGGATTGCGTGTAGTGTCATCTAGAGTATTGGGATTGCGTGTGGTGTCATTTAGAGTATTGGGATTGCGTTTAGTGTCATTTAGAGTTTTGGGATTGCGTGTAGTGTCATTTAGAGTATTGGGATAGCGTTTAGTGTCATTTAGAGTATTAGGATTGCGTGAAGTGTTTTTAGAGTATTGGGATGCGTGAAGTGGCATTTAGAGTATTGGGATTGCGTGTTGTTTCATTGAAAGTATTGTCAGTACGTATGGTATCCAGGTATATTGGCATGTGCCGTATTACATGACATGTAACCTGTAGTTTTGTACACGAATACTGTAACCTGTAATTACAGTTGTGTTACCTGTATGACCGCACTGCATTGGCTTCCACGTATGTCCGTGCTCATCTGGTCATCTACGTCCGCGTTCTTTCCTCGTGGCTTGACCACTAACCATGTCCGTGTCTCAGCGGATCAGAGGAAGTAGACAAAAGAACATGGGATGTAAATATGTAGATGCTCTCGCGATGAACGCAAAACACACCGCGTCAGGAAGACTATATGTTTAACACAAGACGTCTCAGGTCGCGCTTGGCATGACCACGCCATCTTTATATTAATTTCAAGAGACACACTCGTATGTGGAAGTAAGTTTATCTTAAGCAGCTGTGCTAGATCATTAAAGTCAACGTCACCTTGAAGTTAATTTGAATTCGTTAGCAGATTAAAATCTTATCCTTTTCCTGCGAACCTTGGCAGGCATCAGTCGGAGACCCCCGTGTGTGCGCGTGAATACCCGCAAGATTGCACCACTCGCACGTGGCTTTGTTTACAGAACGTATGTTTGTATATATCTTACATCTACCCTCCCTCTCCCCTGTTGCCTTGGGTCCCGGGACGTGCTGTAGTCAGCGTACATCATTCACACATGAATACAAACGCATTGCTACATACGTATAACAGATGTAAGATAACGTCTGATTAGTGACGCGCATGAATGGACTAACCACATTGGACAAGGAGGAGCATGTTGGGTGCATGGAGTTATCTCCCCGTGGATATTCCCTGGCACGATATCGGTTGCAAGAGGCGGGTTTAAAGCCGAGATCATATGCAACCTCTAGTTTATGTAGACAAGACTTGACTACATCGTATATCTGGTTTGAGTTTGGTTCAAAGCCGCTTTCAACTGTATTCATGTTACATCACGGGGTGTCAGCTTGATTTGGGAGGAAAGCCCGAAGTGAGTGAGTGAGTTGGGTTTAACGCCGCTTTTAACAGTATTCAAGTTATATCACGGCGTGTCAGCTTAATGTGGGAGGAAAGCCCGAAGTGATGCAGGTCTCAGACGTTTACCACTTTGGTGAAACCCACCATTACGAGAATGGTGCTGCCAAACCTAGAAACATAATCTAGGCGAACCGGGATTCGAACCCACAATCATAGGTTTCTGGCATGTCCAAGGGACGCAACTCTGCACAGCGAATCGCGGCGCCCCAGACGACTGGGCCACCCGTGCCTTGCTCCAAGGCTGTACTGAAAGATAAGTCCATGAATGTGTAGTAATTATATCCTCCTATAAGGCAAGTCTAGATGTGTGGACAGCAAGGACTCCGGTCTCTTATATGGACAACATGTTCTTATTATTCACCTAATCTAGAAATTATGATATAAACTAATATTTATTTCCTTAGAGACCTGTGCAAGTCTAGGGCCACTCGTGCCCCCTGTTATAACTGCGGTATTGCTTTCGGTCGTGCTGCATAGAATTACGATTGTCGTGACGCTTCGATCGCATTGTGAAACGGGGACCTTGTGTTCTTCGCAATAGCGCAGTACATCGTAACCCATCTGACTTGTCCCGTCCAACAGAGTCAAACAGTCAAACACTTTGAGATAGCGGCAAACCAGCATCTATTAATGTTTATAATTGATGTGTCTGGCAGCTGCAACAGACACGATGGGAACTGACAAATGCACATTGTATGCCGATTATATCTTATCAAATATGCACATGCATGTTAAACATATGCAGACTATACGCATCTACCCCGAACCGACATCTACTCCGTACAGAAGACGCACGCGCAGGCCGTGTTGTCTAATTTTCGTCACTCCATGCAGTGTTTGGAGTGGCAACCTGACAAGTGGTATTGTATTGGCTGTGTTGTATGCTAATTCCGCACACCGCTTGTTGAAGAGCCTAAGGTCCACCAATGGGAACTGCCGTTAAACGCACGGTAACGTGTGCTGCCCACGTGTTGGTAAGAGGAAGGGGAGGGATTGTCGGTGGTGACTGAGATTCTGATTGATATGCATATGTTGTAGAGAGTTTATGGGGTCAACGGTGCAGCTTTCATCGCACCAGACAAACAGACATCTGTCGCAAATGTGAGCAGTCTTAGATATACTCTCCCAGCCAGCCAGTGAGTCCATATAACGGGGAGTGAGTGAGTGAGTGTTCTGGGTTTAACGCCGCTTTTCCAGTTATATCGCGTCAGCTTAATGTGGGAGGAAAGCTCGAAGTGATGCAGGTCTCAGACGTGTACCACTCCGGTGAAACCCACGAGCACGGGTATGGTGCTGACAAACCCAGAAACATAATCGGGGCGAACCGAGATTCGAACCCACACTCATAGGTTTCTGGCGTGCCAAAGGGACGCAACTCTGCATAGCGAATCGCGGCGCATAACGGGGAGTCGCTGTGTC